AACAGACAAGTTGCTGTCATTTTGTTCTTCAGTCTAGTTGTGGAGGACATTGCTTCACTGGCCCAAGTTGGCACCATCATTGCGCTCTTCCCAGATGAGGCAGATCAGTCTCCGGCTTCTGGACGGCTGCTCACAGCGGCTGCTGGCCGCTCACGCTGGCTGCTGGCTACACATGGTAACCCATGGCAACCCACTGCAGCAAGGGCTGCAGCCTATGCCATCGCTGGCGACTGAAGGCAGCCCAGCTCCAGGTTGAGCTTTTGTTCACCATCTTAGCTGCAGAGGGCAGTGTCACTGGCCCTCATATGTGGGATCTGAACCAGGGCCCTGTGCCATCCAAGCCACCTCTTAACCAATGCACCACTCGGCCGGCCCTTATTCACTTCTTTATTACCAAGTAGGCACCAGTGTCCAGAAGGTACACCTGGGAACTTTGCAAACTTAAACTGAGTGAGAACAACAAACCACCTGGTCCCAGACCAGGTCCCAGGGAACCAGCGTTTCAGCTAAAAAATGGAAGCATGACCTTTCAGCTAGCACTCACCAGCTCCCCAGAGTGATCCAGGAAGCTGCAGGATCTGGGAAAATAGAACCTGCCTTCCAGGTGGCCCTCAAGAGAAAACCCAAGGACATAGGCGATAACTGCTCTGAAGGACCTGGGAGGCTGTGGCCGGGCAGATCTGGGTTTGCAACTTCAAGCTACATCATTGTGACCTTGAGCCTTGGTTGGTTTGTCTTCAGTACTGTTTCTCTATCTGTTTCTCCCCACCGCCCCCCTTGTTACTGGTCCCTTTTTGAGCATTAGGGCACTTTCCTTTTTGTCGCCCTGTATGCCCCCTCCCTCACCACACCTAAGCAAAGGCCTTTGCCTGGAGGCCCTCCACCCCCTGCCTCTGCACTTGCCCTACCCTTGGTGAGATGTAAGAGGGTCCGGTCCCCCTGGGGATCCTGCAGTCCCGGGGTGAACTGGGGTCAATGCTACCACAGGCCGTGGGAGCGAAGAATGTCTAACCCTATAGGGGAGGAAACAGAGAAGCCAGGAGACTCCCGGAGCCGCTGGCTCCTAGTCACTGACTCAGGCTGGGCGCCAGGCTCAGAGGCCGTGATCAACGGAGGAATGATCCTAAACTGAAAATCCGTGTGCTATCCAGTTGTTTTTTCCTGTGATTGCTTCGCTACTTTTCTAAAAACATTACAGTTTTTCTCCCAAATCGTTTCTCTGTGACTTCTCAGGCCCGCATCCCCCACCCTGACTTCCCGGACCCGCACTTCTTGCCCGGTCCCGGAGCGAGGACTGCAGCGTGCGAGGCCCCAACCCAGATAGCTAATTGAGAGCAGAACCCAGGAGAAGCCCCGCGGGGGCGGGGCCGAGGCCGGTGGGAGGGGCAGCGGATCTTAGGTCTTCTCGCGGGCCCCGCCCCGGGCCGCCGGCCTTGAGTCAGGCCCTACCCGGTCACTGCCAGGGGAGCGGCGCGGCCATGGGGTAACGCCGGGTCCCTGGCGAGCGGAGTCTCTTGTCTCCGGGCCAGGGCGCGTCCCTCCGTCTGTCCTAACGCCGGTCTAGCCGCAGGGGGTGAGTCTGCACCCCGCAGGGACAGTCGCTTTCCCTCCGCCCTACCCTGTCGCCGCGCCCTGGCCGAGGAGGGGCGCCCCGGGCTGGGGCGGGTGGGGCGCCGGCCTGGCTTTGCGTCCGCGGAGTGGCCCCGCTGCCGCCGCGGTGGCCTGGACCCCTTGGGAGGCAGGGTCTAGCGGAGCCAACGATCGAGGCGGAGGCTTGGAGGACGCCGCGCCCCATAGCCTGGGTGTGGGTGAGTCCCACAGAGAGAGGGCGAGGGCTTGCCAGAGGCCACCGAAACCCCAGCTCCGGGATCTCTCTCTGACCTCTGGCGGACCCCCGCTAGGCTGCTGGGGGTCCCGTGGTGCTGTGAGCAGGACCCTGCCTAGCGCGCACTGCCAGTCCCGCCCATCATCACGGGCGGTGCGCATTGTCCTCGCTCCTCCCCGACCCAGCCTCTTTAACCCGAGGCGGTCACTGAGGCTGCGGTGGGGGCGGGTTGACTTGCCCAACGTTATGGAGCCCGTGAGCCCCGGAGCGCCCAGACCCCGCCAGCTGGAGGGGGAATCACGGCCGCGTCCCGGCTGCGCAGGCTCTGGGCTGTTCCGGCGCCCTCATGGTTCCCACGGGAATCCTCCAGGCGCCTCGCCCCGGCGCTGCTGCCCTGTTCCGGGGGCCCTCTACTCACCTCCGCCAAGCGAGGAGTTGGGAGGAAGACCTGAGAGCCTAGGCGGGAGTGGGGCAGGGGTCGGCCTGGCCCAAGGCGCAGCTGCAGGCTTCGGCGGAGCGCTGAGCCACTCGGAGCCGGCTCCCAGAGCCTCCAGAACGAGGCCTGGGATTCACGTTCTCCGGGTGGGGCCACTGTCCTCTGGATAAGAAAGCATTCCTTTGCAGGCGTTCTGCGGGACCCTGGAGCCACCGGCCCAGAGCCTGAGAGGGAGAGGAGGGCTGATTCGCTAAGGCACGCCCAGCGTCAGCAGTAGCCCAGGCTCAGATGCTGCACCCAGCCATGCGCTGCCACAGACTGGTCCTGGGCCTGGGGTTCTGCCTGCTGGTGGGCACTGCCCTCTATGCTCTGTGGTGAGCATGCCCAACGAAGCCCCCCCTCCCCACCAACCCCAAAGCCTGATCCCTTCAGGGGATTCCTTGGTTTCACCCACCTCTCCTGGCACACCTGTCTCCCAACACCAACCCCAGTAAAATGGGACTAGGTTTCTGAATTTTGCCTTGTACGGGCCTCCTGGCCTTTGCACTTGATCTTTGCTCTGCCTCGACCAGCTGTGTTGATGAGGAACTCCTGTTTCTGCTCCAGAATTCACCCTGTGTGTTCATTATGTGCCGTTCCCAGGGCTGCCCCCACCCCCACCTCCACCCCCACCCCGCCTCGTGTGCAGGGTCTGGCTTCAAGAACATTGGTGTTTGAGAGTGAATGACTGCACGGGTGAATAATGACTGCATGCCAGAAGACCAGGAGGCTTTGTCCCTGGGGTCAGCCAGACCTGAGGAGTGATGGGGGACCCCCCCAGATGCACCACTGAGGCCTTCACTCCCACAAAAGTGCACCAAGTGGGATTTCAGCCGCTGGGGCAGAGTCTAATCAGCAGGGGATTTTCCTTCCCAGGGTGTGTGTCAAGAACTGGCTGCCATTCTCCTACGTCCCCTATTACCTCCCCTGCCCAGAGATCTTGTAAGTACGGGGCTGGGAGAATTGAGGGCCCTGTAGGGAGGATGGGAGAATTTTTAAGACCACTTTGCTTGCAGGTTCTTAGGTCCTAAGCTCATGGTTCTGATCAGTGTGATAAGTGTTTGGGTGATTTGTGGGCTGCCCTGTTTTAGTCTTCGCAGTGGACCTCAAGTGTGTTCTATAGCTCTGAGCCTCACTTACTGTGTCTGTAAAATGGGACGGTAGAGGTGCCCCTCCTGGACCACTGGGAGCATGGAGTGCGATGATGCTTGTAAATAGCTTGGGGTAGCACCTGGCACATTGTAGGTGCCCAGTAAACAGTGCTTTAGGACTTGGCCATTTTGCTTAATTCTGTGTTCTATGTGGAGTCAAGGAATTAACATGTGACCAAAGTCTTCCCCACATAACGCATCTGGCTTTTGGACAGTTAAGAGTGAGAAAAATCAGATGGAACAGCTGCAAGGGAGCATCTGGCCCCCTGGTCTTTTGTTTTTCATGATAGCTAAAGGGAAGTTTAAAATACGGATCATAGACTACTAATTAACAAGGTGTATGTTATTATTATAAAAACAGAATATAATAAATTAGGAAGCTGAAAGGCAGACAAGATGAAGGAAAAGAAAACCCCCTTGGGTCCCACCTGCCTGAGTTATGCTCTAATCCCAAAGTTCATTGACAGCTTGTTGGTTGCTGCACTTTCTCAATGAACAGATTATGCATTTACTTGGCTCTAAAAGCAGACAGACTGCTTGCTATTGAAAATAGTTGCGATCTTAATGTTTTTACGATTTTTATCCTGTTTTCCGGAAGTGTATTCTTACTCTTCATGGTCACTATCATTTTATCCCACCCAGGGGCTGGGTCATACTTCTTGAACCCCTTTCCCAGCAACGACTTTGGGGATTTAGGTTGTTTGCAGTTTCCTAGTGTTCTACATTAGTTTGTAATGAGCAGCTTTGGTAAAGGTTTGCCATCTTAACTATCCTTCCGTCTGATATATTCCCTTTCTGGGCCAGAGAATATGGAGTGGTTCTTGATCTATCTTGTCAGGTTGCGTTCCAGAAGGACCAGGGCACACCACACACTCATAGTCACACATACCCCATGCCCACCCCAGGCGGCACTGCCCCTGGGCCACTGCTGGAAGTGCCACGTGAAAGCGTAAAACAAACTGGAAACTAGAAAAACTAAAACCACCTTGCTGAGTCAAGAGGTGGGAAATACTATCTGTGGTTTAAGTTTCATTTGTTGGATTCTGACCAAAGGCCTCCTTTCTCCCACACCTTCCTGCTGACTGAATTTCTGCTTCCGGGATGTACCTGCTCTCTTTGGCCTGTTTTCGGTTCTCTGTCATGGTCCTTGACTGACCACATTTGCTACCTTTTTTTTCCTTTCCAGTTTGTCTGTCTTTTTGTTCTACTGAGTTGTTTTTTTCATAGGTGAACGTTGGAGGTTTTTATTTGTTTTCGATGGTCACGTCTTCCCCTCTTCATTTGGATTTCTTCTGGACTTTTAGTTCTCTTCTGTTAGGAGGTTTCGAAATGCAAAGTTCCTTCTTTTGGCTAGGGCTTGTCTGTGGCTTTGGTGAGTTATGTCTAATGCTTTAAGGCAACTGGAGCGAGCCTGGCCTTGTGGGTATGGGGTGGAGCCATTGCTAGGGAAGAGTGGAATGCTGGGGTGCCGGGTGCTCTGTCCTCCATTCTGACTGTGACCGCCATCATTTTCTGAGCAGGGACCTGAAACGTGCTTGTTTGTGTGAAACTCGGGCAGAGGGCCAGTTTGATGGATTGACTTTAAAAACTTAATTCCAGAGTATAGACTGAGCACAGAAGGACAAATACTATATGATTCCACTTAGATGAGGTTCCTAGAGTAGTCAAATTCATAGACACAGAGGTAGAATCATGGTTACCAGGGGCTGGGGGAGGGGGCAAAGGGGAGTTAGTGTTTAATGGGGACGGAGTTCCAGTTTTGGAAGATGAAAATTTTCTAGAGATGGAGGGTGGGGATGAGTGCATACCATGTGAATGTATGTAGCACTACTGAACTGTACACCTAAAAGTGGGTTAAATGGTAGATCTTTGTCATGTATATTTTACCACACACACGAAAAGCATAGATGGGAAAACTTAAGGAGGCTTGAGCCATCATATCATATATGAGATGTTGAAAATTCCCAAATGAATCGTAGGCACTGTGCCCTCAGGTGGTCTAAGCCTTACAGGAGGCCTCTCCAGGGAGGTGGCTCCCCGTGTGGCCTGGGGCAGGCCTTTCCCTTCTCTGGGCCTCACCTCTGCCCCTGGGGAACAAGTCTATGCAGAAAGTTATATTGTCGCAGGTGAGGGAACTATGAGTCAAATGTCTGGCCCCAGATCTCTGGGCCACCAGATGGTGGCACAGCGGGAGACTCTCTGCTACCTGCCACCTCCTTCCTCAGGGACCCCCTTCTCACTCCTCCACCCAGGGTGGTCTTGGTTGACACAAGTGGAGGCTCACCCCACACACAGGCTGCTGGGTGTGAGCTTAGAGCCCCTGACTCACATCCCTCATGTCGTCCTCACAGCTGTGAGGGTTAAGGATGGTTACCCATTTTACAGATGAGGAAAAGTGGGTGTCTTGGTCTGGATTCCACTAAAGAAATAGAACCAGCAGGAAGAAGGGAGGGAGCTAGGTAGGTAGGTAAGCGGTTAGATAGATGATAGCTAGGTAGGTAGGTAGATGATAGATAGATAGATAGATAGATAGATAGATAGATAGATAGATAGTAGCTAGCTAGTAGATATTATAGATAGATGATAGGTAGATAGATAGATAAGAGGAAATGGCATGCTTGATTGTAGGGGTGGCCAGACCAGTGTGAACACAGGCCAGGTCATCAGGAAGAGCAGGCTGGAACTCTTGTGCAGAAGGAGCTGACATTGCAGGCCACCCACACCATTTCTTCAGGGAAACCTCAGTTCTGTTCTTAAGGCCTTTCAACTGATTGCGTCAGGCCCACCAGATTATCCAGGATAATCTTTACATAAAGCCCGCTGGTGCAGATGTTAATCACATCCTCAAAAAACTTTCATAGCACTTTGATTAGTGTTTGTATAACTGTGCCCGACAACTGACCATCACTGTGGGCTTGGATTAAGTAAGGTCCCCAGGCTAGGAACAGGCAGAACTAGGCTCAACAGTCATTTGCAGCCTCTCCAACCTTCTACCCAATGCTGGCCTCCTACAGAGCGCCATGGTTGAAAGAGCATAGCTTTGGAGACAAACGGCCTCAGGTTGGAATCACCACCCTGCCACTCAGTGACCCTGGACAGACCGCTTCTGTAGGAGCCCAGCCCCTGCAGAGCGGGCAGAGCAGTGGCGCAGGTTTGAGGGAGTCTGCACGGAACCGGAGGGCGGGGGTGCCTGTTCCGTGGGGGTGTTGGTTTAATCTCAGCTTCACTAATGGCTCTAACCCCCCACTAATGGCTATTTCTCGCCTCTGTCCACCAGCAACATGAAGCTGCAGTACAAGGGGGAGAAGCCGTTCCAGCCCGTGGCGCTGTAAGCGGACTGTCATGTCCCCCTGTGGCCCCAGGGGTGGAGGTCACCTACCCTCACCACCGGTCCTTCTCAATTTCAGGTCACAGTACCCTCAGCCCAAGCTGCTGGAACAGAGGTAGACACTGATTAGGGTCTGGGTACAGCATGGAGAGGGACCTGGGGTGGCAGGTGGGGGACAGAGCTCTGACTTATGAGTTGGGGTCCTGGAGGTACCAGGTGGCTTTGGAGTCCAGGTAGTCTGAGACCTGGGCTCCAGTCCAGTTCTGTCACTAGCTGTGTGACCTTGGGCAGGTTACCCAACTGTTCTGTGCTTTTTCTGTACAGATGGATAATAATAATAATAATAATAATAATAATAATAATAATAATAGTAATACCCACCTCATAGGAGGCTGGAAGACTAGATGAGACGGGGTTTGTAACCTGCACAGCATTGTGCCTGCTGCATAGCAGGTGCTCAATCCATCATCAATGACAATATTGATAACCCTGTTTATTAGGCACTAGTCGGCACCTGGCATGCTGGGCTCCTCTAGACACCTGACGTGTGCTAATTCCCGGCCCTCCCGAACACCCTGGGAAGGAGCTGTTATTATCCCCACTTTGCACCTGAGGATACTGAGGCCCAGGGACAGGGGTGAAGCTGCCGGGGTCATGCAGCCTGGGAGGCAGGGCCAGGGTGACACCCAGGCTTTCACAAGGGGAGGGTCTCAGCCCCTGCGGCCTCCCCTGCTGCCAGGCCCATGGAGCTGCTGACGCTTACACCCTGGTTGGCGCCCATCGTCTCTGAGGGGACCTTCAACCCGGAGCTTCTGCAGCACATCTACCAGCCACTGAATCTGACCATCGGGGTCACGGCGTTTGCCACGGGGAAGTGAGTAGTGGGCTGGGTGCGGGGAGGCATAATTGTCTCTGGGCCACTGGAGCTTACAGTCTGGGGAGAGGCAGGACTTGGACACAGGACCCCGCCCGGGGACCAGGGAGGCCCTGCTACACCGAGGGAAGGCAGAAAGTAGAGTGTGATGGTGGGAGGGGGGCTTCCTGGAGGAAGGGGTCTGGCCCTGGCATGGAAGAAGGAGGGGAGGGGAGAGGAGGGCAGGAACTTTTCCCCCCTCACCCCTCTCTGCTTCCCCTGAGCAGTCCGGGTAGGTATGAAGGAACGGAAACCCCCCCAGACCTCCTCACATAAATGGGAGTCCATAGTCTGGCCACAGGCAGGTCAAGAGACCCAGGCAGAGCGAGCCCCTCCCTCAGGATGCTCTCTCTCCACCTCCTCCATGCCTGCCTACTCTCCTCCCTCTCCCCACCTGGCCCTTCCTGTAGGAGCCACCCCGTCTGGGTCCCTTTCTAGGACTCCTGAGAGAGGAACCGTGATGCATCCCGAGGCCTAAAGCGCTGGCCAGGTGATGGATGGCCTACCTGGAGCCATGTGACCCCTGGTCCAATCAGCTGTGGCCTGGAGGGTGGGGCCGCATAGTTCCCTCCCTCTCTGAGCCCCGAGCACCACTCACCTTCTCTTGCTGCAGCCACTTACCTGCCTCCTGGTTCCTTTCCTCTCTCTGGGGCACCATGTCTCTGCCTGTAAAATGGGGATTATGGTGCTTGCCTTCCAGTGAGTTTATGAGGTTCTTAGAACACTGCCTGGCACTTAGTAGGTGCTCGGTAAAAGTTAGGTCAGTTTGTGAATATAAGAGTCAGCATTAAGTAGCGTTCTTTTGGCGGTCTTAAGAGGTATGTAGGTGCTCTGATTGTGGGCATTTGACAGACGACAAAGCTGAGGGTTGGACCTGAGTGACTCCTGGAGGTGGGGAGCTGAGAGGGTGAGTCACGCAGTGGCCCTGCTGGGGCCACCGTAGTGATGGGTGATTACCACCAGGCACACCCGCTTCGTCCAGCGCTTCCTAGAGTCGGCCGAGCGGTTCTTCATGCATGGCTACCGGGTATGTTACTATATCTTCACCGACGACCCCAAGGCCATCCCCCGGGTCCCACTGGGCCCTGGCCGCCTGCTAAGTGTCATCCCCATCTGGGAGCGCTCCCACTGGGAGGAGGTCTCCGCGCGCCAGATGGAGACCATCAGTCAGCACATTGCCGAGAGGGCTCACCGGGAGGTGGACTATCTCTTCTGCCTCAGTGTGGACATGGTGTTCCGGAACACGTGGGGCCCTGAGACCTTGGGAGACCTGGTGGCTGCCATTCACCCAGGCTACTACGCCGTACCCCGCCACCAGTTCCCCTACGAGCGCAGGCATGTTTCCACCGCCTTTGTGGCAGATAGTGAGGGGGACTTCTATTATGGTGGGGCAGTCTTTGGGGGGCGGGTGGCCAGGGTGTACGAGTTTACTAGGGGCTGCCACATGGCCATCCTGGCGGACAAGGCCAACGGCATCATGGCGGCCCGGCAGGAGGAGAGCCACCTGAACCGCCGCTTCATCTCGCACAAGCCCTCCAAAGTGCTGTCCCCTGAGTATCTCTGGGACGACAGGAAGCCCCGGCCACCCAGCCTGAAGCTGATCCGCTTTTCTACACTGGATGAGGACTCCAACTGGTTGAGGAGCTGACAGTACAGCCAGGGCTGCCACGGACGGGGACCCCAAGCCGTGCACCCAGCTTGCCCCAGTGCCTTACTTCTCAAGCCTTAGCTGAGACCAGCCCTGGCCTGTCAGCCTCTCAGTCTGCCAGGAGAGACCAACCAGAAAGTGGATGTGGAAGGGCCTTTGTAAACTGTAAAGGGCTATGCCCACATGAGGAGAACGCAAAGCTCACCGCACAGCAGTGTGGCCCAAGGTGGGACGCGGGAGGGGAGACGACGTAAAGAGGGCAGGGCCCACGGGCTCCCCAGCAGACGTGCCTTTTGGGGCTGGGCTCTGCAGTCTGACCCTACTCAGTGCCTGCACTCCCACCTCTGTCCCCTGTTCTCACCTGTTGCCCTTCAAGCTGCACTTGTCACGTGTCCCGGACCCCTTTTCTCTGGCTGCAGGACTCCCCGTGCTCTGATGTCCCCCAACCACAGGGAGCCAATACCTTACTCAGGACACCGGTGTGAAATGGAGTGGGTCTAGGTTCTCTGGCTTCCAGTCCAGCTGCCCAGTGGTGGCCACCCTGCCTGGCACCCGCCGCCTTCTTTGTTAGAGGGTTGGGGCAGTTTTAATAAAAGTGGTACACGATAGGCCCTAACCAGGGTTTTTCACCTGCACATTTGAGTGTCTGTGCTGCCAGCCAAATGCAATCAACTTGTGGGGTGGGGGAGGGCAGACAGTTTCCCAGAAAACCTAGGTTAAAGCTGGTTGCTGCAACAGATGGGATTTCATCCCAATTCTCCTGGGAGACTGGGTGAATTGGCAGTGTGCAGCCAGACATGTCATACTCCCAGCTGAGTCAAGAGAGCAGCAGAGCCAGTCAGCTGGACACTGGGCTTCCATTCCCTGAGCATATAACAAATGTGCCCGCCGGCCTTCCTGTATCCGGTCAGCCTGAGCCCTCTGAGGCCAGTGGTGGGCGTGCCTTAGGCCCAGGATCAGAGGACCTGCAAGGGAAGCATCACCAGCGTGGCCCCAAAGTGACGTCAGAGTCCCATGGTGATTCTATCCCTGGTGTGGGTTCAGGTCTTGGCGGCCCAGTGTCCCCTCCCCTAGGGGCAGCAGCATCTTTGCCACAGAGAGGAGAAATGGAAGGCGGGGAGGGGTGCACTCTGTGGCCATATCGGGATGAGCACCCACCCACCTGGCCACCCCTGGCAAAGCTGGGTGCCACCCCGAGCCCATTCTTCCTGCAACATGTGGTTTGGCTGGTGATCACAAGGGTGGGGCAGACTGAGTGCCCAGTTGTGAGGACACAGATGGGCTGGAGAAGATGCTTCCTGGGCAAAGGGACACAGATGGACCTCTGTGTCCCCATTGGGCAGTCAGGGCCTGGCCCAGGGGAAGGAGAAGCCTGTGAAGCAGGGATGTGTTGAAGGAGCAAGAGACCCCTCGTGGAGACCATGGAAAGCCTCAAGAGGAGGCGGCCCTGTGTCCGCCTTGCAGGGGAGAAGGGAGCCCCTACCTCCCTTTGGGCCTGGAGTCTCCCAGACCCAGCTGATGAGCCTTCTCAACCTTGGCCCAAGCCCTTGGGGACTATGGCTGACCCTGGTCCCCATCCTAAGGTGTAGCCCTCAGATGTGAGTTGAGTGGGTGACAGGATCCAACTCCTGGAACCAAACCAGGGTCCAGGTTACTTCCCTAAAAGGAGCTGAGGACCAGGGCCAAAGATGCTCCACGGGTGGGAAGAAGGGGTGAGGGGTGTGTGTGTGTTTGGCAGGAGGGTACCAGCCTGACCAGTGGAGGGAGGTGGGAGTGCCTGGAGACAGTTCCAACAGCCCTCAGCCCCTGTCTCTGACGGGATTAGATCTGAGCTATGAGTACCAGTCTTGCCAGGGCAGATCAGTTTTGGGGGCTCTGAGGTTTTTTTAAGTTGCAGAGTTACTTCTTTAAGAAGTAGACAAGGTGCCAGCCGAGTGGCGCATTGATTAAGAGCTGGCTTGGGACGCCAGAGGGCCCTGGTTCGGATCCCACATATGAGGGCCAGTGACACTGCCCTCTACAGCTAAGATGCTGAACAACAGCTCAACCTGGAGCTGGGCTGCCATGAGTCGCTGGCAACGGTGTAGGCTGCAGCCCCTACTGCAGTGGGTTGCCATGGGCTGCCGTGTGTAGCCAGCAGCCAGCGTGAGCAGCCAGCAGCCACAGTGAGCGGCCGTCCAGAGGCTGGCGATTGATCTGCCTCGCCCGGGAAGAGCGCAATGATGGTGCCAACTTGGGCCGGTGAAGCAACGTCCTCCACAACTAGACTGAAGAACAAAACGACAGCAACTTGTCTGTTCCCCTTCTCCCAATTCCCCAGTGCTGTTCCCATCCCCAATTCCCCAATAAAAATCTTAAAAAAAAGAAGAAGTAGACAAGACTGGACTTGGAGCTGAGCTAGCTGCGCCCTCCACAACTAAGATTGAAGAACAACAACTTGACTTGGAGCTGATGGATCCTGGAAAAACACACTGTTCCCCTTCCCCAATTCCCCAACACTGTTCCCCTTCTCCAATTCTGTAATAAAATCTTAAAAAAAAAAAAGTAGACAAAATTACAAATACAGGGCTGGACTAAGAGGCCACCTCCTTGGGCTCCAAGCACATCCTTTGGGGTCACACTGACCTGGGTTCAAACCCACAGTGGGGCCACGTCACAGCCTGTGATAGGCAAGCTCACATGGTGACTCTCAGAGCCTCAGTCTTCTCCATTGAAAATTACTCCATTGGAAATGGGGTCAGTGACCCTAGGACGGTGTGTTGGGGATTCAAGCAGGGAGATGAAGGCACCCAAAGTGCTTGGACTCAGGAGGTCACCTGGCCAGGGAGCCCCAACACAGGATAAGGCCTCTGATGGTCCGTGTAGGGCTCAGGGATGGTGAAGAGCAATGATTCTGACTCCCCTGTTCACAGCTGGACTTGGTCACTCAGAGCTGAGTGGCCTTGAGTTCTGGGCCGCTGCTCATGAATAAAGTGGGGTGGAAGCACTGAATGCCCAAGGGGCTCATGACAACAACTATGCCCAACATTTGTCCATCTAGGTGGTGGGCCCCCCTCCACGGGCTCCCTCAAGCCGTCTTACTCCAGCCAGGGCTGCAGCCAGGGACAGGCTAGACCTGGGGTCCTGCCAGAAAGAAAGGGGTTCGGGGTGTAGAGAAAAGGCAGAAGGGGCGGCCTGACTTTCCTGAATACATTCGGGTGTCCCCCTTCCAGGTCCCCCTGATTCCAGCCATCCACCTAGCTGCCCCTACAGGTGGCATACGTGTACCAGAGGGAAAAGATGGGGGCGTACGTGCAATGATTCCCGTCACCGCGCCCACACAACCCAGCACCCGGCCGACCCCGCCTGGTTGGGTTGGGGGTGGGTGGGTCCTAGGGGGCACAGAAGGCACACAGCAGGTGGTGAGGGCAAGGGGCCTTTGGCACACGCCTCGCGCTGAGTCCCTGGCGCGCTGCGCGCGCGCGCCGCGAGGCGGGGCTCACGTGCACGCACTGTCTGCGGGACCGCGCAGGCTCGTGCGTGTGCGCGCCGGGCCGTGGACAAGAGGCCCACCACGTCCGCCCGCGGAAGGGAGGCTGGTGCGCGCCCCCGGGCTCGCGCGGTGGGGCCCGCCTTCACACCTGCGGCGGGCGGGGGCGGGGCGGGGCCGCAGCTGACCCCGCCCACCCGGCCGAAGCCCGGGCGCCCCGCAGCGCGGCGCAGACAATGGGAGCGGCGCTGGCGGCGGGGGCCGTGGAGCCCCGGGCCCGGCGGGGACGGGAGGCCGCGCCATGAACCCCGCTGCCGGGCGCCCCCCTGTGCGGCGCGCGGGCCGAGGCGGGAGGCCTCTGCGAGCCCCGGACCCCGCCCTGGGGCCGGCGATGCGCTGCCGGGGCTGAGGATGATGGTAGATTGCCAGGTGAGTGCCACGCCCGGCCTGACCGCCCTCCCCGGCGTCGCGGGTGGAGGGAAGACCGCATGCACCCCGCCACACCCCATCCGGCGGGGCGGGAGCACGGCGCCGCGTCCGCGCTCAGCGCGCGCTTACGCAGTTCCGCGTTCAACCCCTCCTGGTACAATTGGGAAACTGAGGCCAGGAGAGAGGCAGGGACTGCTCACGAGGCGAGCAGCGTCCGGAGGAGTAGGGAGGGTTCCGGCCTCCGAAGCCAGCCTCAACGCCTCCCATGGGGTTTCCTTTGGGAATAAGAGCCCCTGAGATCCTGGGGGAGCCCCTGTCCATCCTTCCCTGTGGGGCCCTGTCCTCTGGGCATCTCCGCGCAGGCGCAGGCACAGACACATACACACACACTGACTTCATAGTGCACGCGATGGAGGTGACAGTGGGAAAGAAGAAAGGGGCAGGAGGCAGCTCAGCCATCAGGCTGTAGCATCCTGTCTCCTAGCAACATGCTGGGGTTCATAGCATGGGAGGGGAGAGATGCCGGACTGACGGCCAGGGGTCTTTAAGGTCCGCAGGGGTGCCTGGAGAGGACAGGGTCTGGGGTCCTGCATCCTCCACTCTGGGCACCTGGAACTAGGAGGAGCCCCCATGTGGATGGGCTACAGGAGAGAAAGCCTCAGTCTATTCCTCTATAAACTGAGGTGCATGGATGGTGTGACACCGAGGGTCCCACAGGCTCCTAGAAGAGTCTGTGACCCTGGTTCTCCATCATGACCCACTGCTCTCCCAGTCCTTGGAAAATGCGTTCTGCTCCCTCAAGGTCGTTCTGAGCAGAGGGCAGCCTGCGGGGGTTGTGGGTCTTGGGTCCTGGGTAGTGCAGAATGTGACAGGGCACTGAACCAGTCGTCTGGGGACCAGGGACACTGTTCCCAGGTATGTCCAGCGCTGGCTTCTCTTGTCCTGGTTGCAGCATAAATGTCACCATGCAGGCCTCGTGGACCGCACCTAGGACCCAGCCCTCCTTCTAGCACCTGCTTCATTTTCCTAGAGCACCCTGCCTGGTTGGGTTTGGGGCCTGGGGCCATCCTTGTTGGAGCTTTGGGGTCCTCCTCTGGACGTGGGTCCAGAGTTATGCCCTGGCCGGGGTGAGGAGGCTTTGTGAATGAACTGGACACCAGGACAGTGGAGGGAAAGAGGGGCCTGAGAGAGGCTTCTGAGGTTCCTGACAGCCCCCCTGGAGCCCGCAGGTCCTGTTCCTTTGACCTTCTGGCACCAGGGAGAGCTGCTGCCTTGACTACATCCAAACAAAGGTGTGTGTTTTGTTTTCTGGTTTCCCTGCTTGGGGCTGCAGTGCCGGGAATGACCACCAGGGGGTGGGCTGTGCCTACTGTGCTCACTGGAGCAACTGGAGCACAAAAGGGAGACTGGGGTCATTCTGGGTGTCTCCCTGCCTTCGACCCAACATGCATCTTTTATTATTAACCTCCATTTCCACAATGTAAGATGCTCAGAGGTGAGAGGGACACTGAGACCCTCCCCTCATTCATTCAGCTGCTGTGCCCCCTGCACCCACCCTGAGCAGGGGCCCTGCTAGGCCTGGGGGAGGTGCTGAAAGGACCC